CCACTGCACTCCAGCCTGGACGACAGAGCGAGACTCTGTCCAAAACAACAACAAAAAGTTGTAATAAAGCCAAGGATGTCAGGTATAAATTTTGCTGAGTCAAAGTGTTAAAATATCTCTGCTTGAAAAAAAAATCTTTTTGAACCAGTTACCATATATCGTCTGTTAGTGGCACATCTCAGATTTTATTGCAGATATATGACTACAAGGACACACTGGTGAACACATGCCATTTTGCTTCTGGAAGGCTATTTTCAGGACACCATACTGATTGCAACATTGTGCTATTTTACCCTCACTCAGAACCTCCAAAGATTCGCATCCCAAGACACCTGAAGCAAACCTATATCCGCAGAGTTGGAGAAGCTGTCAATCTGGTTATACCTTTCCAGGTAAGAATTCAGGGGTGGCTCATTTTCTCTTTTCAGGGTGGGGTTTATAGGAAGTAGGGAGATGCACTCTAGCATATAAGTTCATCATGATTCAGGATTTCCTCAGAGGAAGAGGAGATAAACAAAGAATGAAAGAGAGTTGGAGAATAATTTAGTAATCCCTTGCTATCAAAATAGAGAAATCTGGTCAGGTGTGGTGGCTCACGCCTGTAATCCCAGCACTTTGGGAGGCTGAGGGAGGTGGATCATGAGGTCAGGAGAATGAGACCATCCTGGCCAACATGGTGAAACCCCATCTCTACAAAAAATACAAAAATTAGTTGGGCATAGTGGGACATGTCTGTAGCTCCAGCTACTTGGGAGGCTGAGGCAGGGGAATTGCTTGAACCCAGGAGGCAGAGGTTGTAGTGAACCAAGATCACGCCATTGCAGTCCAGCCTGGCAACAGAACAAGACTCCATCTCAAAAGAAAAAAAGAGAGAGAAATTTATAGAAACCATCATAGATTTTCTTTCTGCATGAGACACATGAGATACAGTCTTTTCTGAAGCTCAGGGACTACGATGGGCAGGGAAGAAAGAAACATCAAGGAGATACCAAATGAGGAAATGCTTGAAGATTCTTTTGGTCCTATATATATTTGTAAAACTCATCATTTTAAGTGAAGCTCTCAGTGTAACATTCAGGAAAACAGTACGTGCTTAGTTCCCACAATGACCCCAAACCAAAATAATTTCAATAAGGGGACAACTGAAATCTGAAATCACGATGCCACTACCTGAAATATATGAACAATATTAAATCATTGTTCCAACAAAAGAATCTGTTCTTCAGAAAATTAACGAGTCTTCACTTACAATAGTCAATTTTGGTCTTATACAAATACATACACACACCCTGCACCTCCCAACCCTGACACTTCCAGACAGTGCTGTTCAATAGAACTTTCTTCAGTGGTAGAAATGTTCTATATTGGCACTATCCAATATGGTAGCCACTAGCCACATGTGGCTATTGAGCACTTGAAATGTGTGACTAGGAGCTAGTGTGACTGGAGAAATACATTTTTAAATTCTTTAATTTTAATTAATTTAAATTTAAATAGCCCTGTGTCCCTTGTGGCTATTGTATCAGACAGCTTGGCCTTAGAATGTAGATCTCTACACACATTTAACACTCACACACATACACACACATGCACACACGCACGCACACACAGAGAGAACTCTGTTCAAACCCAGGCTCCCATGAAACCAAACTAAAGGGATAGCCAGTTCAGGTCATCCTGATTGCACTCTGGGAGCAAACCTAAGGAGAGGCATTGTGTTCTACATCCCCCTGGCATGCAGTCAGAATGGAGGCCAAAAGGGAGTGAAGCGGAACACAGTCAAGGAGGAAGCGGGTAGCTTGGCAAGGTTCTTCCCCCTTTCCTTCTCCTGCAGCATCAAATAAAACCACAAGTGGCGACAAGGCAGGCACTGGGGACCCAGCCCCAATCCTGCACTGGGGTTGCTGAATCAGCTCTCAAGTCTCTACACTGTTCCTTCCACCACAGCTAATCCCAGTTCCCAGATCTTGGGGCCTGTGTGTTCAGCTTCTGTCACCGAGTCTGAGAGAGAAAAGAGCATGAGAACACGGACCTCACAGATCTGGCATCCCAGAGACTCTCAGCCTACAGGAAGGAATGATGAGACCAGAGCGTGATGTTTGTATATTTGTATAACCTCTAGAGTTTCCAAATATTTTCTCATTTGATCCTCAGAAACACCCTGTGAGGCAGGAAGGCCAGATTTTCCTTGCCTTACTTGAGAAGGGAAGAAGCTGACAGAGAAGTTAAGTGGCTTGCCCAATGTCACACAGCAAGTCAATGGTAGGGACAAGAACAGAATCCATGGCCCTGTCACTTAATTCAGTGTTTTTTTTTTTCATTCCATGTGTCATTAGAGAACCCACATTTTTCCCTAGTGGCTAAGAGCAAGTTGTATACTTACAGAAATAAGAGCTTGAACTGTTTTTCCCCGTCTTCAACAATGTTGTTCTCTGCTTCCTATGTGCGAATCTGAGCACCCTCAACCACTTTTCAGGCTCTGAGAGCAGGGGTTTGGTATATAGCTCTACATCTCTTATTATAACCTAGCCATGTTCAGAGACCACAGAAAAGCTGTGCCTTACCTGACAGAATTCATGCTTGGTTCCTGTCGGCCAGGGTGAGCCTGGGTAAAATTCCTTTGTAATAGAAATGAAAACTCAGGTTCATGAATGGGATTATGATTTCTTAAATTGTGCTCTTATAGTTTCGACAGCTAGAGGAAACAGAGGTCAAATTCTAGACAAATCTAAAATGAGCAGCATGGGACAGTAGAATAATAATCATTAACATTTAGATGATATTGGCTGGGCACGGTGGCTCACGCCTGTAATCCCAGCACTTTGGAAGGCCGAGGTGGGTGGATCACATGAGATCAGGAGTTCGAGACAATCCTGGCCAACATGGCGAAACCCCTTTTCTGCTAACAACTACAAAATTTAGCCAGGCCTGGTAGTAGTTGCCTGTAATTCCAGCTACTCAGGAGGCTGAGACAGGAGAATCCCTTGAACCCAGGAGGCGGAGGTTGCAGTGAGCCGAAATTGTGCCACTGCACTCCAGTCTGGGCAACAAGAGCCAAACTCTGTCTAAACAAACAAACAAAAAAACCATTTAGATGACACTAATTAAAAAAAAAAACTTACGTATTAGGCAGAAGCTTTCTCAGGACTTCAATCTTTATAATTATATTATATAGATATTATAAATAAAGAGAATATTAAAATATCTTTAATATTTATAATGTATAATATAATATACATTATTCCTGTTGAGGCACGGAAAGCTTAGTAAGTAACTTGCCCAAGGTCACACAGATGTTAAGGGGTCAGGAGCGAGATACAGATTCCAGAGCCCCAGAGACCACACCCTTAACCATTATCCTGTGTTATGTAGGCTTTGGAGCCTAGGAGACCCAGCTGGGAGACCTGGTTCCAGTGCTTATTTAACTGCAAAACCTTGGGCAAATTATTTAACTTCTCTATCTAAAATATCAGGATAATGATACTAAGCTTGATGTGAAGATTCAGGGAAATAATCAATGTTATATATCTAAGGTAGTGCCTTGCACATAGAATGCAGATTACAGCTTTGCTGCTGTAACTGCTCACCACCAGACTAGAAGGGTGGTGTTTTCCAACTCTGTCTAGAATGGGTTAAGCCATTGTCATGCTCATAATGTTGGAGAAACATCTTGAGACAATGTGATTTACTCCCTCTACTTTTGCTGTCTTTCTTTTTAGGGAAAACCAAGACCAGAATTAACTTGGAAGAAGGATGGTGCAGATATTGATAAGAATCAAATAAACATTCGCAACTCTGAGACTGATACAATCATATTTATTAGAAAAGCAGAGAGGAGCCACTCTGGGAAATATGATCTGCAAGTCAAAGTGGACAAATTCGTGGAGAGCGCATCAATTGACATCCAGATCGTTGGTAGGTTTGGACAAAGGAGCCAGAACGTTCTGTCAAAGCAGAAAAGGGACGAATTCTCCTTCTCCCCAAGGCAAGCGCAGGAGTTTTGTTAGGCTGGCTCTACATGAAAGTCTTTTATTAGATTTGTTTTTTAAAAATAGATAAATTAGGCTAGGCATGGTGGCTCATGATTGTAATCTCAGCACTTTAGGAGGCCAAGGTGGGCAGATCATTTGAGGTCAGGAGTTCAAGACCAGCCTGGCCAATATTGTGAAACCCCATCTCTACTAAAAATACAAAAATTAGCTGGGTGTGGTGGTGCACACACCTGTAATCCCAGCTACTCTGGAAACTGAGGCAGGAGAATCACTTGAACCTAGGAGGTAGAGGTTGCAGTGTGCTGAGATCATACCACTGCACCCCAGCCTGGGTGACAGAGCAAGACTCTGTCAAAAAAAAAAAAAAAACACTGAGAGGAAGATTTGTTACTGTTTCGAAATGATTTCTCACCAAATAAAGGACTAAGCATGGGAGATTTAAGGCATATATGTTCAAGAAAATTAATGAATCTAGTTTTTAATGAAATCCTTCTGTACTATTTTATAACCCAGCTCTCTCTTACTCTTAGTTTCTCATCTCCCTGATGATAAAATTATTTCTTATGTTGGATTCTTGCATTCTAGACATTATAGATTCTAGCCATAGTTTAGCATGTTTCTTACCACACCTAAAATTTACTAATAAAGTTTTCACGGACAATGAAGAATTTTTATTAAATATTAATATAAGGAAGATGTACCTAAACAAAGTTGAACAGTAGAACATTGAATTCTTTGATTCCGTAGGTGTGGTTAGACACTTACCTGCCCAAAGAATGAATAAGGTTAGTTCCTACTTCTGTCCAGAGTCAGGGGAATAGAGGGAGGACCCCTTATGGATGGACCCCTCTCACTTAAATTATTCTGTAATTTTTGCAATGTCAAGAAATAAATTTAGGCCAGGTGTGGTGGCTCACACCTGTAATACCAGCACTTTGGGAGACGGAGGTGGGCGGATCACTTGAGGCCAGGAGTTTGAGACAAGCCTGGACAACATGGCAAAAACCTGTCTATACTAAAACTATAAAAATTACCTGGGCATTGTAGCACACACCTGTGGTCCCAGCTACTTGGGAGACTGAGGCATGAAAATCACTTGAACCTGGCAGGCAGAGGTTGCTGTGAGCCAAGTTGCACCACTGCACTCGGCCTGGGTGACAGAGCAGGCTCTATCTCAAAAAATAAAAATAAAAAATAAAAGAAATTTAAGAGTAGAGCTAGAAATAGCCTTGTTTCCAATCATTGTCATCATTGTATTTCAGTAAATTTGTTGAAAGTCAGTAAATTTGCCTCTCTAACCAAAGGGACAACTTCCTATAACAGCCTTCTCACCTCTGCTTAGTTGAAAGGCCATTCCCTTTCAACTAAGCACTCTTTTCCCACTGGCTAGGCCTTTTTGAGTTTTGTTAAGTCAAAGGGATTGTTGAGGCTTATCTGTCCTTGGATCTGGCCTGGATCCATTCTACTGGAAGGCAAAGGGTCTCAGAAGCCCCCGTGGTAGGGTCTAGAGGAGTTATGTCCCCTGTAACACAGGAAAGGGCCTTTTAAAATATCCTCATGAAACAAAGTGTAGACTGGGAAAGAAAGTGACCTTGCAGTGACACCATGAATTCATCCTGTAGACCGTCCAGGTCCACCCCAAATTGTGAAGATTGAGGATGTCTGGGGAGAAAACGTCGCTCTCTCATGGACTCCACCAAAGGATGATGGAAATGCTGCTATCACAGGGTATACCATCCAGAAGGCTGACAAGAAGAGCATGGTAAGGTCTGGCTTTCTCTGGTTCAGCAACAGCAAAAGCACATTTCATCAGAGGTAAAGAAGGAGGCATGAGGGCCTCACTGGTGGGGGGCCCACGGGGGCTGTGGAGAAGTGATGTGATATAGCAGAAAAGACCTGTGGAGCCACAGAGTTGGACTTAAACCCCAGCATTGCTACTTAAGACCACATGTATAAGGACAATCACCTGGCCTCTTTGATCTCTATTTTCCTCATCTATAAAATGAGAGCACAAATATACGCCTTGCTTGATTATTACAAAACTAAGATTTTATAAAGCAACTGATGCAATGCTCAGTAGAATTCACTTAAATTCCCACAGTCATTCATACCTTCCAGAAACATTGTTTTCATTATGTTTGCCACATATTCTTTTTTTTTTCATTCTTTTGCTATATGTTCAGTGCTGTTCTAGCGACTAAATCCAATTTTAAAAAGCTTTTATTCTTGAGGCACTCACAATCTAAGCAAGAAGAAAGATATCAAACCAAGTGATAACACAATGTAATAAATATTCAAATAAACATTTGCCTACCCTGCTTTGGGAGTAAAGGAAGGCACAACTACATTTGTCTAGTGTCTCTAAAATATGCAAAATTTATAGAAAATGATGGCCCCTAAAAGTTTCAATGAAAATATTTACTTCTTAATGACGTGCCTTGTTGTCAGCAAATGCATTTTCTTAACTAATGCTGCTAAAAATATGTGGTGCAATGTGGTTTTCTGCTGCAAGATAAACTTTGAAACCACTGTATTTCTTGGTCTGATGAAGAAAAAAATTGAAAAAAATATTTTAATATGGCTATAACTTCTCATTCATCCATTCACCCAGTATTTAATAAGTATTTTGTGCACAGTACTTACTCTATGCCAGGTACAATGATAGGCAGTGGGAATAGGAGAAGTTAGAAGAAAAGTCAGGTTTGACATCCCAGAGTGCCTATTTCAGTGGGGGATGTAGACAGTAAACAAGTAAAACAGTAAATACAGAAGACAACTTAAGGTGGTAAGTGCTATGGACAAAATTAGGCAAGTTAAGGTGATAGAGTGTGACCAAAGTGGTGGAGGTTGGATGGCGGAAAGGAAACAGGTAGGGAGGAGGTGATATCTGAGCAGAGACTTGAAAGAATTAAAGTTGGCCAGGCGCAGTGGCTCATACCTGTAATCCTAACACTTTGGGAGGCTGAGGCAGATGGATTACTTGAGGTCAAGAGTTTGAGACCAGCCTGGACAATATGGTGAAACCTGTCCCTACTAAATATATAAAAATTAGCCGGGTGTGGTGGTGTGCTGCTTGGGAGACTGAGGCAGGAGAATTGCTTGAACCTGGAAGGCAGAGGTTGTGGTAAGCTAAGATTGTGCCACTGCACTCCAGCCAAAATGACAGAGCAAGACTCCATCTCAAAAAAAAAAAAAAAAAAAAAAAGAACCAAAATTAATAATATCAGCTGGGAGCAGTAATCCCGGCACATTGGAAGGCTGAGGCAGGATGATTGCTAAAACCCAAGAGTTTGAGATTGAGACCAGCCTGGACAACATAGGAAGACCTCTTCTCTACAAAAAATAAGTTATCTGGTTGTGGTAACATATGCCTGTAGTCTCAGCTACTCGGGAGGCTGAGGTGAAAGGGTCCCATGAGCCCGGGAGGTCAAGACTGTAGTGAGCCAAGATCGTATCACTGCACTCCAACCTGGGTGACAGCGCGAGACCCTGTCTCAAAAAGAACAAAATATATAATAATAATAATGTTAAGTATACGTACTTTATTCTACAAAAGATAGCTAGACAGACAAATAGGTAGGTAGGTAGGTAGGTAGGTAGGTAGGTAGGTAGATAAATAGATGACAGACACCTAAAGGTTATGAAAAAATATAAACATAGTAGATGACAACTAGGGTACATGAATCTAATGTGTAAATGAAGATTAAATTACATAGTCAATTGCAAATAAGCTGTAAAATATTAAACAAATAAAATACAGATGGTTCCAATACATTGTAGAAATATATATTGTTATTACTCTCCATGTAAATATGAGTGGTCTTTTTTTCTTTTTGTTAGTGGAACATCCTTGTTATTTATTCCAGTCAACAGTTGGAAAAACTATATACTTTTAGGTGATTTTCCTCCAGTTATTTTTTTTTTTCTTTTAGGAATGGTTCACTGTCATTGAGCACTATCACCGAACCAATGCCACCATTACTGAACTGGTCATAGGGAATGAATATTACTTCCGGGTCTTTTCTGAAAACATGTGCGGCCTCAGTGAGGATGCCACCATGACTAAAGAGAGTGCTGTGATTGCCAAGGACGGTGAGTTGGGAATGGACTGACATTTGAAAACCTTGGTTGACAGTGACTACACAGAGAACACTGGAAGAAAAGATGTGGTGAAAGGGAATTAAAAAATGGTAAATGTACATTTTAAAATTATGGTCATTGTGTTCAAGTAAATTTTTAATTTTACTGATTTAAGTGAAATTATATTATTATTGCATTTTTAAAAATATAGGCTTTAATTCCATCTTCTAGGCAGTGGATCTATAAATGGCCAATACTCCAGAGACAGGAAAAAGTAGACCTTTACTTCTAGAGTTTCTGTTACTTTTGTTCTTGGACACCTTCAGTGTAGCTCCATATGGAATCCACTCTGCAATAAAGGGAGAAACTGAATTCCATCCTTATCCTTTCATTTCATCATAAACCACTCTTTTAAAAACCTTCCTTGTGAATTTTCACATTAGAACAAATTTCTGATCAAAATACTCAACAAGACACCAAAGTCTTCTCAATAGCTGGTTCAGTTTCAGATGACCACTCTGGCTTTCTGTCCCACGGCTGATTGGCTATACATTTGTACCCCTCATAATGTTTGCCACGTGGCATATGCTCATCTTTTTCCATGTTTTTCTAAGTTTAGGGAAGTTTTAATAGTAAGTAAAGTAGCCACCAATAATATATTCTCAAGCCAATTTACATACTTCTAACATATTTGTAATGCTTGTTTTTAAGGTAAAATCTACAAAAATCCAATATACGAAGACTTTGATTTCTCAGAGGCACCCATGTTTACTCAGCCTTTGGTTAACACTTATGCCATAGCTGGTTACAATGCCACCCTGAACTGCAGTGTGAGAGGAAATCCTAAGGTACTGTGTTCTTCTATGACATCAGTTAAAGTCCCTCCCTTGTATTTGCTGTGTTACAATGTAAGAAATAATATAAACAAACCTTCCAGCTGCTACTTGTGTCTTCCCAGGTTGGGCGATTAGAGGGTGGTAGCGCTGGTAGATAATTAGGCACACTACTCAGATGCAGTAGGAAAAAATGCTTACATTTCTTTACTAACTAAGGGATTCCTTCAAAAGAAAAAGCAAACCACCTATTTAAAAAGAGCATCTCCTGTGTAAGGAGACGGAAGTCTAATAATATTATTTCACTTGGAAAATTAGGTGGTAACGTCACAAGTTCTGATAGGTTAAAGTAAACAACAGTTACACTATAATGTAAGACAATATAAATGTGTTTTGATAAGGGTGCACTGTGCTAAGAAGGGAGCTATCACATCCAATTGAAGAGAATAGAAAGGTTTTAAGGTTTCATGTTGGCATTTGAAAAGAACAAGGAATTAATGAATATCACCCATAGAGATATACATATCCCTGGGTGCACAGAGAGAAAGTGCCCTAGAATTGGGAAAATTTGTGAACTTTTTTTTTTTTTTTCTGTGTATACCTTGATCAGAAATAGGGAAGTCGGCCAGGCGCAGTGCCTCATACCTGTAATCTCAAAACTTTGGGAGGCTGAGTGGGCGGATAACTTGAGGTCAGGAGTTCGAGACCAGCCTGGGCAACATGGTCTCTACTAAAAATACAAAAATTAGCTAGGCGTGGTGGCACACACCTGTAATCTCAGCTACTCAGGAGGCTGAGGCAGGAGAATCATTTGAACCTGGGAGGAAGAGATTGCAGTGAGCCAAGATAGCACCACTGCACTCCAACCTGCGTGACAAAGCAAAACCACATCTCAAAAACAAACAAACAAAAAAAAGTCAGAGGAAGAAGCCAGACTGAGCACGGGAGAAAGATGCTGAATTAATGTTTAATTGGAAGCTATGTTGGTACATCCAAGTGGGAATGATGAGGAAGAGAAGGAAAGGTTCACCCAGAGCTTAGGAGAAAGGCCAGGGCTGTTACTTTCGGTTTGGGAGTCCCAGGCATGGAGATACTATATTCTACCTCTTGCCAAAGCTTTAGAAAGGAATATCATTAAAGAGAGGACAGTGGGTGAAGAGCCAGCAACCAAGGTGTGAGCCTCAATGAACGCTCCCATTTGAAGGGTAGAAGGAGGAAAAAGACTGTGTGAAGGAGATGGAGCTACTGTCTCTAGGTTCTGAGCAAGACAAAATAATAGAAGAGGTGGAAGAGGGAATGCAGAGGGTACAAACTTACAAAAGAAGGGAGAAGACAATATGAGAATGAAGAGTCACTAATATCAAATGTAGTTCAGAGATCAAGGAGAATGAAGTCATCTTCCTGGGTGATTGGGTCATTACTGATCTTGCATTATCCGGTTGGAGTAGATCCATTGTCACTGGATGATGAATACAGACGTCAGAGGAGAGATTAAGTAATGAGGAGGCAGGTGCAGTTCATAAAGAATTTAAACAGAGTATCAGGAGAAAGAAGTGAGGAAAATCAAATAGTCATGACACCTTACGGGGATTCTCTGAAAAAATGCCCAGTAAATATGCATGCTCTACAATGAGTTAACATCATGAACCTATGATGAAATTGTTTTTTAATTTGAAAATATTTAATTGACAAATAAGGGTCATATACATTCAAGCCAAACAATGTGATGATTTGATATGTGCACACATTGTGTAATGATTATCACAATCAAATTCATTCGTCACCACCGATGCTGTACCTTCGATGCCAGAACTTGTTCATTCTGTAACTGAAAGTTTGTATCCGCGTAGATCAAATTGAAATGCAACTGAATCCATTTGAGAAGATTGCCCTAGCGTTGCCTCTGAACAAATGAGGCTTTGTCAGAACTGCTCATTTGCTTCTTTGCCAACCACTAAGTAGAGTTTAATGTGAGAAACAATGCCCAAGTAGAAGTCTATCCTTCTTAGCTGCACTTTCTTTTCAAGCCGTGCTTTAAAATTCTGTCCCTGGCTCTGACAGTCTGTTAATATGCCAAGTACAGATATGTTTTGACCTGATCTTCTTCAATTTGAACTTCAGCCTAAAATAACCTGGATGAAAAACAAAGTTGCTATTGTGGATGACCCAAGATACAGGATGTTCAGCAACCAGGGAGTCTGTACCCTGGAAATTCGCAAGCCCAGCCCCTATGATGGAGGCACTTACTGCTGCAAAGCAGTCAATGACCTTGGGACAGTGGAGATTGAATGCAAACTGGAGGTGAAAGGTATGACATCCAATATCTCATGTATAGACTAAAGCTAAAGAAAATTGTTGAATTATTGTTCTTAATGCAAAATCCAAACTGCTTGCCAAAATGCTGCAGCAAGGGTGGGAGAGGGTGGTGGGGGTGAGGGAAGCAAGGAGGGAATTCAGGGAGACAAGACATTTTTACGTTCTGCATTCACTTCACTTTATTTGTGGAAGGCTACCTGATTATTTAACTTACTTTTATCTTACGTGATTCACGTTAACTAAGGGACTGTTAATTTCAGTGGAATGTTAGTATGTGTACAGCATGGTAAGAATGAATATAGTCAAGGGGCTATCACTTTGGTGGCATAATCCATCTATAAATAGAAGCCTAGTGTAAAACTCCATCTTTTGAAATGGCAATTGAGGAATGTGCACTATTTTTAATTTTATTTTTAATTAGTTTACTATTTTGTAAAGTTTATTATTTTCTGACATTTTTATAGTTTTGCTAATTAAGTGTTTGATATTACACATATAGAATATAGCATACACATATTATAACAGGATGCTTTTCAAAACTCTAAGTAGAGAACTTCCATTTATAGGTATACATTTCATTGATACTAGTTTTCAGAAGTGTGGCAACTAAAGTAAACCAAGAAAACACATAAGGATTTATGTGGTTGACAAGTCTCAGCATAACCTGCCATCTTAATCAATTTTCATATTAATCAACTACCATTTTTACACTGACATTTGAACCTATTCTGGGACACCATGAAAACCCCTTCAAAGAGTCACCATTATGAGATAATAGGTGACATGATCCTAGTGTGTTTTCTCTTATTCTTAACTGTATTATATTGCCATTCTGTAATAACCAAAATCTTTCTTTTTCCAACATCCCTATAATGAAGAAATTATGATCTAAAACTCAGAAAGTAAATATCTGTTTCAGAAAATCATAGTAAATGTCTGGGTATTTATTTTTTTTAAGAGTGTTTTAGTCCTAAATCTAGTATAAATATGAAGGAGAAGCTTCTTCAACAAAATAACTTCCCCATATATGTGTATGTAATATATTTTTTAACTATTTTTTTTTTAGACAGAGTCTCACTCTGTTGCTCAGGCTGGAGTGCAATGGTGCAATCTCAGCTCACTGCAACTTCTACCTCCTGGGTTCAAGCAATTCTTGTGCCTCAGCCTCCTAAGTACAGTAGCTGGGATTACAGGCATGCACCACCACACCCAGCTAATTTTTGTATTTTCAGTAAAGACGGAGTTTTGTTATCTTGGTCAGGCTGGTCTCAAACTCCTGGAATCTGGCAATCCACCTGCCTTGGCCTCCCGAAATGCTGGGATTACAGACATGAGCCACTGTGCCCAGCCACCTTCCTCTTATAACTTTTTTAAGCTATACCCTTTCTCTTATAATTCATAATTGAAAGAAAAAAGATTTTATTTTTTTCTCACAAATATAAGGCATATAATATTCTTAGCAAATTTCAAGCCTTACTATTGAGATAATCCTTACAAATTTAAACATTGTTTTTAGCTGCTCTTTTGGCTTTTTTTTTTTTTTTTTTTTTTTTTTTTTTTTTTTTTTTTTTGAGACGGAGTTTCACTTACGTTACCCAGGCTGGAGTGCAATGGCACGATCTTGGCTCACCGCAACCTCCGCCTCCTGGGTTCAGGCAATTCTCCTGCCTCAGCCTCCTGAGTAGCTGGGATTACAGGCATATGCCACCATGTCCAGCTAATATTTTGTATTTTTAGTAGAGATGGGGTTTCACCATGTTGACCAGGATGGTCTCGATCTCTTGACCTCGTGTAGTCAAGAGACCCGCCTTGGCCTCCCAAAGTGCTGGGATTACAGGCTTGAGCCATCGCGCCCGGCCGCTCTTTTGGCTTTAAATGATTATTAAGGTCACAATTGCAAATCATCTGGTTTCTAAACTGCTAGCCTTATTAGTTCCATGGTATTGTTGATGCTTTTGTTTCAATATCCTCCCAAAAAACAAAAAGTTTTTTAAAAAATACCACTTATTTATGCTTTGAAACTAGCTGAATGTTGTTAATGACATAAAATGATGCTTTAACAAATGGAACAATATTTGGGGTCCTTTTTAAAAGTGCATACTATTGAACAATATTATACATATACATGGTATATTCTTTTTAGTGATAATATAGTAAATTGTACAGTAATTGAATTTGATAAAAAGAATAATGTATTCTAGTACATAAGTTCACAATAAAGTATTCACTGTGATATATTGATAAAAGCTTTTGGTCCTAAAAGTAAAGCTGAAATTGTTTATCATCAGATTGTTATCTGATAATAGGTAACTTGAATCAAGTTAAGCTGTGAAAAAAGGTAAGAATGTCAACTGAGAATAAATAAATACTGGTACAAATATTCTGATTCTGCAGTGATATATCAAGGAGTAAATACCCCTGGACAACCAGTCTTCCTGGAGGGGCAGCAACAGGTTTAAAAAGTTTATATCCCACTGGATATTCTACTTTCTGTTCCATTCCTCTTACATGAAAACGCACTTTGCATGTAAAGCTTGACTTTCTCATTTGCTTTTCATTGTATCTCTTAGCAGCTCATGGCATACAATGTTTATGCCATGAACAAGGAAGGCCAAATTATTCAAGGATATTAAGTAATGTAGAAACTAAGTTTTATCAGAAAACTACGTATTATACCACATGTCCCCATAAATAAAGCTGGAAAGCTACATTTGAAGATGATCTCATTTTATGTAATAAGACTATCAAAACTTGGAAATCAATATTTCTTTAATATTTTTATTTTGTAAACATAGACTTTTTAAAAGATAGTTTACACCATAGTTTCCTTACACTCATAATATGATTCAGAGAACTGAACATTTTAAGCATTTAAAAAAATGTTCTGAGCATTTCTAATAAAGAGGATACAAAAATACATCCAATATTTAGAGGCCGGGCATGGTGGCTCCCACCTGTAATCCCAGCACTTTGGGAGGCTGAGGTAGATGGATGGCTTGAGCCCAGGAATTCAAGACCAGATTGGGCAACACGGCAAACTCCCATCTCTACAAAAAGTACAAAAATTAGCCAGGTGTGGTGGCGCATGCCTGTAGTCCTAGCTACTTGGAGAGCTGAGGCAGGAGGACCGCTTGGACATGGGAGGTCAAAGAGGCTTCAGTGAGCCGAGATCTCCAGCCTAGGTAACAAAATGAGACTTTGTCTCAAAAAAATAAAAAATAAAAAAAAATGGGAAACTTACATATTTAGAATATCCCATTACAAATTCACCAGTAGAATATCTGTAACCCATCTACCTGTTGAAGATTTTGGGCATTTTCATGGGGACTCAAATTATTTCATATGTTTATGAACTTGAAAGAAAATTCTAGGCTCTATTACAAAATGTATTAAGCAATAAATGAGTACTATCATATATGTGTGATTCACTCCCATTTGGAATTGCAAATTAAGAGTTATTTGCAGCTGGGTACACAACCTAATGAAAACCCTAATGACGTAGACCTATGCCTGAGTTTACAAAATTTGTCTTGTGAATTTCCAAAGATAATATCAGCTTTCAATAGGAAAAAAGTAAGGCTCTTTCTTGAAAACTTTGTAGTTTGTATATACAGTAGCTTTGTGACATAAGGTTAAGTTTTGTGTCTATTTAGATCAGTCATAGATATTCCATTCAGAACACAATATTATGGAATACACTAGTCTAATACTTGTACTTGATAATTTTGCCTTTTAGAATTTCAACATATATATATGTACGCTAACACTTTATCTATTGTCTATGTTTTTCTTTTGTTGAAAAACACAATATATATATGTTGTAGGGTTTTGGTTTTTGTTTTAAGCTAATGGTTTGGAAGCTCTCACCATAGATATTCACTATACAATCAGATTGGCTTTGCCACATATTCAGGCAAAGTGGTTGTGCATATTAATAAATGTTTTACATATTAATGATCCTTTTGACGTGACTGGATCCTCACCCTTTATTTCATGTGCTTTTATTTTCCTACATCTTTTACATGACTAAGGATTAATGAAATCACCTCATCATAATCATGACCATAATTTCATCCAACAAGTACTCAACTTTGGTGTTAGCACTTTATTAATGCTTACAACTTCTCTCTCTCCCTCTTTCTCTCTTTCCCTTAGTTGTTGCACAATAAGGATTTTTGAATGTATAATATCATCTAAGGTAAGCTTTCATATGGTTTTGGCATATGAAGCTTATGACTGTCATAAGCCATACCAAGCCTGTGGAGTATGGCATGATTTTCATTACGTAATCCAATGAAAATAGACTTATTTTAAATCTCTAACTTTGTAGTTTTAATTTGTACTTCACTATCCTGAAATTAACAGCTAGTACTTATCCATCACAGCAATCTCCTGTTGACATGAAGCAAGTTGTTGAATGCAGTAGAGCATGAATCAAAGCATTTAATGTAGACAAAAACGAGTGATACCCAAGCATCCTGAATTATTTGCATCAAGGAATGGACATGTACATAAGTGGCATCATTTCTACCAATATGTGACTTGAGTTGTTTTTTTTAAAAAAAGGAGAATGACTTTCTCAAATTTGCATTAAAGAAGTTTTTAAGAATGTTCAAATGGCATGCTGCTTTGTCTGGACGTGAATTTATTAGCAAGTAGTGAAGCACTTCACTGAAGGACCATGAATTTTTGTGGTTTCATGGATTCTCTCTTGAAGGGTACTTTTATTTTTTAAATATAATTCAGAAACTCAGAAGGTAGGTATGAAATATTGGTAGGTGTTTCTCTCACCTTCAGAAAGTATTGAACCGGTCTTATTATTATTATTTTAACAAAATATTTCCAATTTCTTTTTTGTGCTTTTGACATGCATAAATGGCCAAAGTTAAAGGGAGTCGTTTTTTTTCTTTTCCAATGTGCTTGAATCAGAACTCTCTGTGCTTAATTAAAAAGAACATTAACAAACTGGAAGCAGATCTTCCCACTGATCCATAACGTGGTATGCATGTATTCTGCTATTCAGTCAGAACATTTAAATCATCTATGAGGAATCACAAAACCTCTCAAAGAGCAATAAATATTTTCCAACCACTTGGGAATTTAAATAAAGATTGAACAATAGTAGGGGAAAAACTGCTATGGGTCTGCTGGGAACTTGCTTTTCCTTCTAGATGCCAAGTGCTTTAAATTCTAAATGTACTAAAACCAGGAGAAGATTTCCAAGTAGAGACTGAATGAATCTTTGTAACTAATGGGAACATGATTAGTCACATTTCCAGGCAGCTAGTCAAGAAGTATTGTTTCAGTGATTTTTCACATAGATGGTTTTGATTTGTCTCTTTTCCTTTTTGTCCTCGCTAGGTGGGCTCTCCTTCTGCAGGCTCCTCTTGCAAGGCGTACCTCCAAACATAATTGATTCATATTTGCGAGACTTACACTCAAGCAATCCTGAGGAATACTGAGGGCCTAGCCACTGCCTCTCTGCACTCTGCTGCTTTGAAATCTGGTTGAAATGAGAACGCATTTTCTGTTTTTCCATCAGGCCCCTAAGCGTGGTCTTTTTCTTTCCTCCTAATGTTGAAGAGAAAAAATAAAAATGTTTGCCCAGATTGCTTAATTAAAAATTGCAAACAAAATCTCATTTGAGGTCAGCACTTTGGTCATTATGTTCTGTGCTTTGTCATTGTATTATACTTGACAAAAATGCATGTCATAGAATAAGCAAAAGCAGTCATTTTAGTTTAATAGTAGGCTATAAATGCTGTTTTCCCCCTCAGAGTCAAAAACATAATACAATACACCATGATTGAATCTTGAAAACCCATCTTTCTCTTGATCCAATAGACTTTTCTAAGCAAAGCAGAGTTGTTTATTTCTGCTTCGAAGGACAAACCCAGGTCTGTCCTTCCTGAGTCTCTAGCAAGGCATCTTGGCCAAAGCTACCAGAGCGTCTGCCAGAACAGCTAGTCATAGTGACAGAGGGTGTTACAGATGACAGGAGTTACAGAGTTAGGGTTTGCTGATGGTATCCATTCAATTTGATGGAAACCTTTTTTAAAAATCTACAGCCCTGCTTGACAACAGGATCTGTGCCCCTTTTTCTTATTTGAATTTGATAAAGTATTTTTTAAAGTCTAACTTGCAAACCAATCCTCTCAGTGGAAGGGAAAATGAATTCAGTAAATGGTACAACGAATCTGAAGTGTTTGTGATGAAATCATACAATATTCATTTATGCATTTGTGGTTTTGTGCCCAGACACAGAACAACGAGTATAAAGCCTGGGAGCCAGCATGCTCCTGAACCCACGTCTGTCCTTCCTGAGTCTCTAGCAAGGCATCTTGGCCAAAGCTGCTAGAGCGTCTGCCAAAACAGCTAGTCATAGTGACAGAGCGTGTTGCAGACGACAGACCTGTTAGAGAGTTAGGGTTTGCTTATGGTGTCCATTCAATTTGATGGAAACCTTTTTAAAAAATCTGTCAGCTGTGAAACATTTATATTAACCCATAATCTGTTCAGCAACTTCCTTCACTCTTCCTGATATAAAGTTTCGGTTAAGGGAGTAGAATTGAACTGTAAGGTACCACACCATTATTGTTTATTTCCTTGCCTCTCCTCTGTTTTTCTTTTCGGTCTTCAGTTGCAGGGGCTAAATATATTGTGACTTGCTGGTGGGCCATGGCCTCTTGAGATGACATTTTTGTTTGTTTTGTTTTTTGAGATGGAGTTTCATTCTCGTTGCCCAGACTGGAGTGCAATGGCATGATCTTGGCTCACTGCAACCTCCACCTCCCAGGTTCAAGCGATTCTCCTGCCCCAGCCTCCCAAGTAACTGGGATTACAGGCATATGCCACAACCCCCTGGCTAATTTTGTAATTTTAGTAGAGGCAGGGCTTCTCCATGTTGGTCAGACTGGTCTCAAACTCCTGACCTCAGGTGATTTGCCCACCTTGGCCTCCCAAAGTGCTGGGATTACAGGCATGAGCCACTGTGCCCAGTTTACTGGATGACATTTGAAACATATCTACTCTGCCTCCTTTCCAGATTATAGCTGGGAATTTCTATGGTGGTCATGGATCTGGGTTGACATTGGGCTGGTAAAGGGAAGAGTGAATGATCCTGGTTGTCGCAGTACATTTGAGAACAACAGAAAAGTCTAGTTTATGTCCAAACTATGGTGGCTCTATATATCTCTGTTGGGATTGGTTGGCGATCTTGCCTTACTGGTTGTTAAGAACACTGGTTATCACCCCTGTTCCTATGCTCCCAGTAACTCCAGAATAATAATGTGTGTTATCCCTGTGTAAACACCAATTTTAATCAAGAAAGTTATGTGCACAGTATTGGCTAAGATAGTTTACATAAAGGAAGTCTGGCTCATCTATAAAGACAGGAAGACCTTATGTCTGTGTACAAACCAACAAAATAACAATGTGGCAAGCCCAATCAACGTGGTCCCTGCAGCCCAGCTGCTGGGTCTGAGCTGTAGCACAGCAGCTGAGCTGGCTGCTTAACTCAAATACTCACTGAGCAGTTTTGCCAAGACATCGATCAAGCTGGTTAGGCCACTTACATGGTATGTTTTTACATAGCCTAAAAGTGACTGTAAAACCTCCTTACTGAATTTTGGTTCCTCACTTATGACTTAGGCTCTTTAATTATATTTTGTACTAGATAGTTACTTTTCTACATATAATCTTTCCTTATATTAAAGGTACATATACACTGCAAAGTTCTAATAAGGAAGAAAAAGTCTATTAGGAAACTGTAAAGAGAAAAAAATATCAGAAGCTGTCATTACGATTGGTTTTTCTATAATTTTGTTTAAATTTCAGTCTATTAAAAATTACGTATCACAGGAATTTACCAAAAATTCTTTTGGGGAACTGAACATTCATTAAAAATTTTAGGCTGGGCACGGTGCCTCACACCTGTAATCCCAGCACTTTAAGAGGCTGAGGTGGGCAGATCACTTGAGGCCAGAAGTTTGAGACCAGCATGTGCAGCATAGTGAAGCCTTGTCTCTACTGAAAATACAAAAATTTTTTGGGTGGGGTGGCATACACCTGTAGTCCCAGCTACTTAGGAGGCTGAGGCACAAGAATTGTTTGATCCTGGGAGGCAGAGATTGCAGTGAGCCAAGATCACACCACTGTACTCTAGCCTGAGCAACGAAGTGAGATCCTGTCCAAAGTAAACTTTTTTAAGGCTCACGTTTGTTTATTTACCTTAAAAGAAGGCTTAATGAATGTTCTCATCTGGATTAATATCAAAGTAGAAAAAAAAAACACACTAATTTTAAGAGGCATTGGAACAAGGTAATATGCCTTTAACAATTAATTTTTATAATAGATTCTGAAATACTATTCAGCTCAACAAATTAGTTATTGAATTCTGTGCATAGCACTGTAATGGATTCAGCTTGCAACTTGATAAATAAGTGACTTCAGTCTGGGTGCGGTGGCTCATGTCTATAATCTCAGCACTTTGGGAGATCAAGGCAGGCAGATCACTTGATTGCAGGAGTTTAAGGCTAGCCTGGGCAAGATAGCAAAACCCTGTCACTACAATGAGTTAGCCAGGCATGACAGTGCGTGCCTGTAGTCCCAGCTACTCAGAAGGATGATACATGAGAAGTGCTTGAAACCTGGAGGTGGAGGTTGCAGTGAGCTGAGATCACACCACTATACTCCAGCCTGGACAACAGAGCCAGACCCTATCTTAAAAAAAAAAAAAAAGAAGGTACTTCATGCCTTCAAAGAATTTATAAGACTAGTACACAAAAGGGAACATATAAACAGGGAAGGATGCAGGTATAAGACAGCACTACAACAATGCAGAAATTAGTGAGGTTTTTGTAGTGTGGTTTATGTATTTGTTATTATCAGTGTGTGTATCATACTAGACTGGAGTACAGGACTTATCATATTACTTAATTTTCCTAAATCAAATTAAATGTAACTCTGAGCTCTCCACTAGCTAGGAAGATTGAGAAATTCTCTGTCCTGTTTGGGGATTCAGATTCCAGAGTCAGCAGGAATCTTTCTTGGTGCCCAGAAAATGGAGAGAAGGAAAGCCCTCTGGTCTTCAATCTACAGTGGTGACTGCAGAGATGTCTGTCATTGTATTACACTTTACAAAATAGTCACCCATAGAATAAGCAAAAGCAGTATTTGGTTTAATGGTCCAACCCTATATGGTTCACTCAAGGACAGGTGACTGTGAAACTTACATGACAAGCATGGACCTGTAGTCTTTCAGTCTTCAAGGCTATCGCTTGGCTATAGTATTAGTCAGGGTTCTTCAGAGAAACAACCAATCAGAGAGGAAGGAAAGAAGACAGACGGAAGGAAGGAAAGGGGAGGCAATGGAAAGGAAAGGGAAAAGAGGAATGAAAAAGAAAAATCTAGAAAGAGATGAATTATAAGGTATTCATCATGGAATTATGGAGGCTGAGAAATCCCATGATTTGCTGCCCACAAAACCTAGGAAGGCTGGAGGTGTAGTTGAAGGCCTGAGAGCCAGAGAGCTCAGAGTGGTGTCTCCACCGAAGCCTCCTAAGATGGTGTGCTTCAGTCCCTCATTACTCAGCTGACCACCTGGGAGCTTCTTAGAAATGAAAACTCTCGATAGACTGGACAAAGAAAATGTACATATACACCATGGAATACTATACAGTCATAAAAAACGACGAGTTCATGTCCTTTGTAGGGACTTAGATGAATCTGGAAACCATCATTCTCAGCAAACTGACACAAGAACAGAAAACCAAACACCACATGTTCTCACTCATAGGCAGGTGTTGAACAATGAGAACACGTGGACTCAGGGAGAGGAGCATCATCACACACTGGGGTCAGTTGACGGGGGCTAGGGAAGGGGCAGCGGGCGGTGAGGAGGGATAACGTGGGGAGAAATGCTGGATATAGATGAAGGGGGAATGGAGGCAGCAAACCACCTGGTTATGTATGCACCTATGCAACAACCCTGCATGATCTACACATGTACCCCAGAACCTACAGTACAATAAAAAAAAAAAGAAAACTCTTGAGCCCTGCCCCAGATCCTTAAGTTCAGCATCTGCATTTTAACAGGATCCCCAGCTATTCATGTGCTTGTTTATGTTGGAGAGGCCATGCCCCAGACTCTTTCTGTCTTGTTCCTTGCATGGCTATTATTTAGAGGCATTGTCTCTTAGCTGTCCCAGAGGAAAAACGTCCTGATAAATATATCCTCTCTCAGGCATTCCTGATAATGACCTAGCCTAATGTCTAGATGGAACTTAAACTGTCACTCCTAAAAGCCCTAACTCAAAAGCTAACTCACTATGGGATTTTAGGCAAGCTGGGTTCCTGAAAAAGGAGTCTTTGAGGAAGGATGTTCCCTCTAGTGTTTCTCAAATCATACCAGAGAAAGCATTTTACAGCAGTAGGATATAAACTCTGAAAAAGATTATTTAAAAAAAATGATTAAAGGATATAAACAAGATCCAATGCTAAGAAATGTGTCTCTCTGAAGGAAATCAGTTTTCTTAACCCTAAATTGCTTTTGCAATTTCAGATAAAGGGCACAATTACAACATCTCAGGGATTGTATTGTGAAATTTTGTTTTCTGATCCTGTCCAGGAAATTAAGCATTTTTAGAGAGGAGAGCAAAGGTTTTAGTCAATCTGTTATTGAACACTGCCTATCTACCCATGAATTTTGTAAAGCACCATAGTTCCATAAAATTTAGACTTTAGAGTCTCAAAGTACAAAACCATAAAAATACAAAACTCAAGCAAGTAAAGCAAGTATTATACCATAAAACTATACTAATGACAAATACTCCAGCCTATAGATCTAAAGCTCAGAATTCTAAACACACAGATAGCTTGATGCTTCATGATAAAATTCTATTCCAACGCAAGCCTAGACAAGTGATTTTTTTTTTTTTTTTTTTTTTTTGAGACAGGGTCTCACTCTGTTGCCCAGTCTGGAGTGCAGTGGCATGATCTGGGCTCACTGCACCCTCTGTCTCCTGGGTTCAAGAGATTCTCCTGCCTCAGCTTCCTGAGTAGCTGGGATTGCAGGTGTGTGCCACCACGCATGGCTAATTTTTGCATTTTTAATAGAGACTGGGTTTCACCGTGTTGGCCAGGCTGGTCTCAAACTCCTGGCTTCGTGATCCGCCTGGCTCAGCCTCTCAAAGTGCTGGGATTACAGGCGTGAGCCACCATGCCCGGCCTTTAGCCAGGTGATTTCTTACTGCAACCCATTCTTTCTTTCAAACCAATGAAAGTCCATGGACTTTTAACTGGCTATTTCATACACAACAGTACCTAATCTGCCTGTATGACACTGTTTAACATTTTCTGGAAAGTTGGCCTAGAGATTAAGGATGTTGAGGAAGATTTTAAATATCACTGAAAGTTACACAAAAGAACTAGTAGTAAAACCAAGAGCCTAAAGCAAGATGTTCTTTCTCCTTTGGGAAAGGAATTCAATTTAGTTAAACCATCAAATAAACATTTATGCATCCCTATTGTGCTTTGGAAATGTGAGAAGTTTCCATACGAGGATGCTTTGTACAAGGGATTTTTGGTACTATTTTTGCAACTTCCTGTGTGTCTGTAATTATTTTTAAATAATTTTTTTTGAATTATGGACGTCTACCGGATGCCAGGCATTGAGGAACACACTCAGTGCAGGGATGGTCTGACACTTTATGAGCTGGGTAGGGAGGCTAATCAATACACAAGTAACTGAACAAAGATAGCCTACGTAACAGTGTACAGAGTGCTCTGGTTGTGTAGGAGCAGGAGGATTAAACTGGAAGAATCCGAGAGGTCATTTTCAAGAAGGTGGAATTTAAGCTGAGTCTTGAGTGATGGGCAGTGTGATAGGGATAATAAGGGATTGAGGGTACTCCCTAACAGGGAACGAATGAGAGTGGGTTTGGGGCCAGCCAATGGGCTCAGGCAGCTGGAGCATGAGACAGGGAGAAGAATGCAGGAAGAGAGATTAGGGAGGTAAGACTAGGAGGGTAAAGTGGGCCTTCAAACGCCAAGTGAGGGAGGTTGGACTTTATCAAAGGCTTCAGAACAAGGGAATATATCATTAGTTTTAGTAAATTTAGTACAATAATTTTTGTCATAATATTTAGAATGGACTGGAATGGCACAAAACCAACATGATATATAGAAATTCGACTGTTCCATATTGACAAAAGTACCCACTAAATTCCTACATTTAATACATGTAAGTTAATAGGTGGCATTTTGCAGTCATTGGGGACATAAGCTCAGAAATCAGACTACATGGGCTTGAATCCTGGCTTTACCGCTCCACTAGCTGTGCAGTCATGGGTAAGTTTTTGAACCTCACTGTGTTTCAGTTTCCTCATCTGTAAAATGGGGATAACAATGGTCTATTTCATAGAGTTTTTGTGAGGAGCAGCTGAGATAACTCCTGATGTTTAGAACAGTGCTTAGCATAGGATAGAAACTCATCAATGTGAGCTACCAGTTTAACTCAAGAAAAGGGGGAAACATTGTATATATCAATCACTACATAACAAACCGTGAAAATGGAAGGGGGCCATGATGCGAGAAATAAAATTAGGAAATCTCTAATAGACTTCTTTGACATTAGAGTATGTTAGAGAGGGCTAAGGTAGAAGAAATAAATATGCCTTAGTATGTCTTGAATTAATTTGAAATTTCCTAAAATTCAGCAAAGAAGCATAGGGAAAAATCACCTTAGAGCATGATGAGTACTTAAAAAAATGGTTTTTATATTTACACTTTTACTATTTTTAAATTATGACATTTCATATTTGTAGAATATACAAATATTTATGCCATCTGTATCTATGTAGATAAATGTAGATATAGATGTATGTATATGTAAATAGTATAAATATATATGTAGATATATATCATATATATGCTTGGCATAGGATAAACTATATATATGTAGATATATATAGATATAAATGGCTTAAATAATAGTAAAATGAACACACTATTACTCTGTTAAAAAACTGTGATTGAGACAGCTTGATGGCCCCCTGCAATACTCACTGTCTCACTTTTCAATAATAATAGACCTGTTTTGGCCAATTGTGGTGGCTCACACCTGTAATCCCAGCACTTTGGGAGACCAAGGCAGTACTATCATTTGAGATCAGGCATTTGAGACCAGCCTGGCCAACATGGTGAAAACCCATCCCTACTAAAAATACAAAAATTAGCTGGGTGTTGTGGTGCGTACTTGTAGTCTCAGCTACTCAAGAGGCTGAGGCAGGTGAATCACTTGAACCTGGAAGGAGGTTGACGTGTGTTGAGGTTGCGCCACTGCACTCCAGCCTGGGCGACAGGTCAAGTTCTGGCCAGTGGAATGAGAGCAGCAGTGATGTGTGCAAACTTTGGTCACGGCCTTCAGAAGAAAGGAGCATAGCAGCCCCTTCCCTTTTCCTCCTTCGAATTGGTTGGGAGTTGTGGCCAGCCACTTTTGACCACAAGGACAAGGACAACATCCTAACGGTGGCAGACCAATAAAATGAAAGAAATCTGTGTCTCTGACACCATCGAGCTGCCATGTAGCCCTACCATGCCTATCCAGACATCAATGTGGGAAAAATCAACTTTTATTTCCTTTAGGCTGCTGTAGTTTGCCTAGCTCCATTCTAAAACAATTACCAATACCTTTGAAACCTGCCATGTGCCCCTCTACAACTGCATTTCCCTTCCTCTCTATCAGGAGTAACCACTAGCAGGATTGTACTTAAAATTCTTTTTCTTTTCCTCATTGCTTTGCCACATGGGAACTGTGAAGTGCAGTTGCATGTTTTTGAACATTATATAAGTAAAATAATACTGCGTGCATTTTGTCTATGACCTGCTGATATGGACAGAATGGTATCCTGCCCTTACTCCACCCCCATTCATATGTTGAAGCCCTAATCCTCCACAGTGTGATGGTATTTGGAGACGGAGCCTTTAGGATATTGGATATCACAAGGGTGGGGCCTTCATGAGGAGATAAGTGCTTTTATAAGGACTTTATAAGGAGACACCAGAGAGCTTCCTCTCTCTCTCTCTCTGTGCCATGTGAGAACATAGAAGGTGGCCATCTGCAAGCCAGGAAGAGATCCTCACTAAGAAACACACTTTGACTTTGGACTTCCCATCCTTCAGAACTGTGAGAAATAAAGTCCTTTTGTCTAAGCTAGTCAGTCTATGGTATTTTGTTATGACAACCCAAGCTGACTAATATATCTGCTTTTTTTTCACTCAATGTATGCTTGTGCAATTCATTCATGTTCATAAGTGTAGCTATAGTTCATTTTTACTGCTATATTAAACTTGCCACATAATATTAAGTTACTTGAAAATACCAGTTTACTTACCCATTCAGCATTAGTGGACATATAAGTTATTTACAGCTTTTGGTTATTGTATAACAAAGGTATCATGAATATTCTTATACCTATCTCCTACGATACCTGTGCAAGAATTTCTTTAGGATATATTCTCGATCAGAATTGCGGTATTGGAGTATATGCATGTTCAACTTTATCAGAAAATGCCAGGTTGTTTTTCAAGTGGTTGCAACCATCTATTCTTCCTAGCTAACACTTCCACTGAGGTATGGCACATTAATTAAGTTCTGGCCAATGAGATGTATAAAACAACAGTCCCCTTATCTCCAGGGGATATATTCCAAGACCCCCAATTGTTGCCTGAAACTATGGATAGTACAGCACCCTATATATACCATGTTGTTTCTATTGGATAACCAAGATGGCTAATGCATGACTAACGGACAGGTGGCATATAAAGTAGGGATACACTGGACAAAGAGATGATGCATGTCCTGAGTGGGGAAGAGTGGGACTGTGTGAGATTTCATCACACTACTCAGAATGGCATGCAATTTAAAACTCATACATTGTTTATTTCTGGAATTTTCCATTTAATATTTTTGGACTATGGTTGACTGTGGGTAACTAAAACTGCAGAAAGTGAAACCAGGGACGAAGGGGGACTACTGTATGAAGAAGTACTGTTTGGGACTTTTGGAGAGGCACCCCAGTTTGCTCGCCAGCCAGTGTATCTACCTTTTTTTTTTCCTCTCCTCTTCCTACTTCCTGCTGCTTGAAATGCAAATAGGATGACTGGAGCCTCACTAGCCATTCCGAACCATGAGATGACCTTATAGATACAAGTCAGAGAGGATACTGGAGCAGAGAGGCAGAACAGCCTGAGTTCCTGATGACCATGGAAACATCGTACCAATCTTGGAGTGCCAATTATATACTTCTTTCATGTGAGAGAGAAATATTTTCTTTACATTACCATGTTCCAGGGTTTCTGCTATAGAAACTGAACATAGCCCCATTGATTATTTTTGTTTCTGACTGATTTTTAGGAGTTCTTTACGTAATCTGGGTACTAGTCATTGTGGGTTTTATTTGAAGGAAATGCCTTTTTCCAGTTTATGGCTTGCGTTTTCATTCTCTTTATGATGTCTTTTGATGTACATTAGAAATTATTTTTAATACAGTAAAATTTGCTAATCTGAAAAAGGGTTTTTCCTTGGACAATTCATGGCATTGGTAAATTAAAAAGTAGGTACTGTCACGATCACTGCACATAAGCCGGCAGTGTTAAAAGTGGATCTCCATCATTCCATTTCCTTTCCTGCATTTGTCAGCATCGCTTTTCACATTAAAGATGAGAAGATACATATTCCTAAAACACATATGCTTGGTCTGTAGACATCCTCATTGCTCTAAGGCAGTGGTTGCCACTTTTTTCCTTAAAGGGCCTAGTAGGACTTATTCCAGGCTTTGCCAGCCGTATGGTCTCTGTCACAATTGAATTCTGCTGCCTCTGTAGCATGAAGGCAGCCAAAAAATATGTAAGAAATAGACATGGCTTTATTTGTGGCACTGAACTTTGAATTTCATATAATTTCACATTACAAAATAGTATTCTTTGGATTTTTTCCCAATCATTTAAAAATGTAAAAACCGTACTTAGCTGGAGGGCTGTAGGAAAACAGGCAGTGGGCTGGCCCTGGCCCACGGGAGCAGTTTGTGGATCCCTGATGCGCTTGCTGATAGAGGTTGCGCCACGCAAGTGTCTTGGAAGCAATTTCTGGCTTGTCCTAGGCCTTAGAAAGTGCGTACAGATCAGAACCATGAAGTGAAGAGAGTGACGGGCCTGTCTCAGGTTGTACAACAGAACATGTTTATGACAGATGTCCCCTGTCCAAGAGAGTGCATTGTGAGATAAGGGGCCAGTGACCCTCCAATGCGTAGCAAGCCGGTCTATTCCCCGGTGCAGGGGGAGGACATGCCTGGGTTCCGGCCCTCAATTCCAGGGAAGATCGTGTGTAAAAATATCCAACCCTGCTGGCATCAAATGCGCTGGAAAAAAAAAAAAAATAGGTATTGGGGTTTCAGCCATTCGGTCTCCTTGTTAGATAGTGTTTCTAAGCCCTGATTTTCAGTTTCAAAACCTTGGTCTCTGAACCTGCAGTGAGGGGGTCTCTAGAGCGAATACATGGCAGGGCCGCCTTCCTCCGTGCAGGAAGGGAGAATTGTGTTTACCAAGCAGGTAACCCCAGACCTGCAAAACTGTGTTCCCACACGAAAACCCCCAGGCTCCGCGGGCAGCCAGCGTGGTCCTGCAGTGGTTGACCCAGGGCGGCCGGAGTCGTGTTCCCACCTCTAGGAGAGGAGCCGGCTCTGTCGCGGTGCACCCTGCGAGGACACTCCATCAGGGCGTAATCCGACGCCCGCCCTGGGTGAAGAAATCAGACCTCAGGCGCAGTGCGGCCGGCCCCTGGAAGTCAGGGACCTCGATCGCCAATAGCAAGTTGCCGTTGGCGGGCGCCGAGGGTGACCCGCGAGCGCCGCGCCCGCCTCCCCGCCCCTAGCCGGACCCCTCCCCGAGGCCCCGCCCCACCCGCGAGACGCGCCAGCGGCCCCACCGCTGAGGGGGCGGGGGCCCGGGGACCCGGGACCCGGGCAGCTCGGCCTGACCTCCACCTCGCCGCGCGGGGCGGACAGGCGCAGGCTCGGGCCGCGAGCCCCTCCCTCCACCTCTTCCCGCCCCCAGCGCCCCGCGCGGGCTGCGCTAGGTGGCGTCGGCGGGGCCCCCGCAGGCGGCCATGGCGGCAGGCGCCGGGGCCAAGCCCGCGCCGCGGTGGCTGAGGGCGCTGGGCGAGCCGCTGAGCGCCGCGCAGCTGCGGCGGCTGGAGGAGCACCGCTACAGCGCGGCTGGCGTCTCGCTGCTGGAGCCGCCGCTGCAGCTCTACTGGACCTGGCTGCTCCAGTGGATCCCGCTCTGGATGGCCCCCAACTCCATCACCCTGCTCGGGCTCGCCGTTAACATGCTCACCACGCTCGTGCTCATCTCCTACTGCCCCACGGCCACCGAGGAGGTAGGGCTGGCCGCTCGCCCGAGCCCGGCCCCAGATGCGCCGCGGGCGGGGCGCTGGAGGCTCTGGGGAGAGGGCAGAGCCACGCGCGGCTGAGCCTCTCCTGGGCCCCGGAGGGGTGGACTGGCCACTGCCCCGTGCGGTGTCCGCCCCGCGCCGCCTGGAGACTGTCACACCACTATCCCAATCCCGTGACCATCTCGAGCCTCCCCCGGGCAGCGGAGGGGTTGTCAATTGAGGTCACTACCCCTGTCCTAAGTCCGCGCAGGGGCTGGAGGGCACCTGCCCAGCCGCTACCCCATGCGGCGCCAACCTGTGGGATGGACCTGCGGTCGGGTGCTTTGCACACTGGGGACTGAACGCCCCCTTCTCTGTCCTGCCTGGCACAGGGACTTGTGCCAAGCCCGAGACGCTCTTTGAATACTTTCATAACCGTTTGTTTCTGGAAGGTTGAGCTAGTGATTCTGAAATGACTGGTAGCACTGATCAAAGATAAGTTACTTTTAAGAGGTAACTTCCTCTTTGCTTCATCGACTTTTTCAAGAAAAACAGACTGGAATGTTATCAAGGCGATATATATATATATTTTTGTCATCTTAACCTAGGGATCAAAAACCCAACATTTTATTGGCAATAATTTTATGACCTTTGCCCAAAATAAGGAGTAAATATGGGGTTTGGGCTGAGTGTGGAGGGATAGGCGACAGAATGGAGTTCGCTCCCATCTATAATTTATACTGCGTGGGATAAATATTACATGGCACATTTTGTGACAGTCTTTGTATTCTTTGCTCCAAATAGTGAAGTCCCTTTATAATCATTTAAGTATAGGCCTTGTGGAGGACTAAAGGAGGTTGAGGTTGGATTAACGGAAATATTTCATGCCCTCCACGCATGCATCCATTTTGTTGTTGTTGTTGTTGTTGTTACTGAGACAGGGTTTTGCTCTGTCATCCAGGCTGGAGTGCAGTGGCTCGATCTAGGCTCACCGCAACTTCTGCCTTCAGGGTTCAAACGATTGTTCTGCTTCAGCCTTCCAAGTAGCTGGGATCACAGGCGAGCGCCACCATGGCCAACTAATTTTGCTGTTTTTAGTTGATAGGGGGGTTTCACCATGTTGGCCAGGCTAATGCATCCTTTTAAAAAAATATTAGGTTGAGCCTACATTTTAAAATATCTTGTCAATTGATCAATGTGCTTATTATGTATTTTTTTTTCTTTTTTTTTTTTTTTTTTTTTTTTTTTTTTTTTTTTTTTTGCGACAGAGTCTTGCTCTGTCGCCCAGGCTGTAGTGCAGTGTGGTGATCTCAGCTCACTGCAACCTCTGCCTCCTGGGTTCAAGCGTTCCCTTGCCTCAGCATCCTGAGTAGCTGGGACTACAGGCGCCTGCCACCATGCCTGGCTAATTTTTATATTTTTAGTAGAGATGGGGTTTCACCATGTTGGCCAGGCCGGTCTTGAACTCCTGACCTCAAGTGATCCGCCTGCCTCAGCCTCCCAAAATTCTGGGATTACAGGTGTGAGCCACTGCACCAGGCTTATTATGTATTTCTTAATAGACATTCCCATTGTCATTTGCCATTGGTATTCACTTACATACCACATATGAAAAAGTAAGCTGCTTTAGTTTTTGGTTGTTTTGCTGCCTGCTTCTAGAATTTCCCAGAGAGAGTGTAACAGAATGAAAGGATTGCTGGTTGGAAGTGGAGGAGGTCCTGGTTTCTAACGGGCTCTTCCACAACAGACCTGCTGGGTCTGTGTTCCCATATATAAAATAGAAAATAGCCGGGTGCGGTGGCTCACGCCTGTAATCCCAGCACTTTGGGAGGCTGAGGTGGGTGGATCACCTGAGGCCAGGAGCTGGAGACCAGCCTGATCAATATGGTGAAACCCCATCTTTACTAAAAATACAAAAATTAGCCAGGCGTGGTGGTGCCCACCTGTAATCCCAGCTACTCAGGAGGCTGAGGAGAGTCACTTAAAAAAAAAAAAAAAAAAAGAAAAGAAAATAATGCCTGCCAAAACAATTTGACAAGGACGCAGTGAGGACCAAATGCTATATAGGCAGATAAATGTAGAAGATTGTAATGTGCCTAACAAATTAAAAATATTACTCAACACATTAAAAATATTACTGTTGTTAGACAACATCCTGAAAACACATAATAAAATTTAGTTTTGGTTGGGTCCACGTTCAGCTAACAGCATTTGGATGTTTCTGATATTGGCCAGTTAAGTGTGGACTCTTCAATGTTATTATTAACTTAAGAAGCATTTGTTGAGCACTTAGAAAGAACAGGGCATACAAAAAGTCAAGAGCTTCTGCTTAGGAAGGTAAAGGGAGGCCTGGTGGAAGAGGTACATTTATGATTCATTAGTTTTTGGGCTTAGCCTCATGAAAAAAAAAAAAAAGAGATAGAGGGTGGGGATTGGAGGCATTTAAAAATAAAGTGCAAAATCAAATGGCCCAGGAAGGGGAAATGAGAGTTAAAATAAAAACAAGAGTTTCTGAAATTATGTTATTAGAACCTGCATGTGCTTCTAAGTGACTGATGCAGGGGTGGAAATGCCATTACCAGATCCACGTTGCTTGTTTGGTAAAAGCCCAGCAATAGTGTGAAGAGCATAGCAGTTTCTGGCTATTTTCCCTTAAGGTCATAGAACTAGTAAATGAGTGGATCAGGTAGGATTCTGATCTAAGTTGGTATGACTTCAAAAATAAAAATATCTAATGTTTTATATAATACAAGTATGTTAAGTGCTTTCACATCCATGGTTGCATTTGTGTCTTGTATCAACCCAAAGAGGTTGGCAAGTTTTCCCCTGCAATGGCCTTCCTACCATCTAGTGTTTCTTCTATCCATCTATCCTAAAGTCACAATAGTATATGTTTTCCTAGGAGAAAATTGAAGCCCAGAGATGTTAAGTGATTTTAACGTGGCTTGGGACTTGTTTTTTGATTCTCAGACATGAGAATTCTTAATGCTTTTTCAGATTTGACAAATTGCTTCCAGAAAGGGTCAGAAAAAATCCATAAGGTTTTTGGATTTAGATGCTTGAGCGTATCTACTCATATGGGCTTTAATGCTGACCGCATTAATAATAACATTTGATATGTTTTTAACTACCATGCTAATTTCTAGACATGACTGGGGATGAAGGGAAACTAACAGAAAAAAAGTTGTGATTTATGTGTAGCTTCTGTAAACTGCTTTTCAAGCCATTATTTCCGTTAAGGAACTTTCTACTCCAGCCAAATTGAACTTTGTGCTATAGCAAGGATTTCTCTCCTTCTTGTCCTTCCTCTTCCTTTCTTCTGTACCACTTATCTAACTATGTACCCATCTTTGTACACCCAATTCTAACGCTATATCCTTATGAAAGTTATCTTCTTTCTCCTAAGTCAAATCAACCGCTCTGAATTCCCATGATAATGACAATAGTAACTAACATTTACTGGGTATTTATGCTTTATCAGGCATGATGTTAAGTCACTTTTATTTTATTATCTCATTGAATCCTCTCAACAACCTTATGAAAAAGGTATTATTAATATCCTCATTTTATGGATGAGGAAACTGAAGGAAAATTAACCTCTTCTATAATCACATACCTTTAAGTGGGAACCAGGATTCCAAGCCAGAGCTATGCCTCCTTTACAGGGCTTTGTAGCTCTCCTGTGGATCTTCACCATTTTATTTTGGTTATCTGTGTTCTTATTAAGCAGGACAGCCTGCCAGATTTTAAGACCAGACAGCAATTGCTCATTCATTTGTATAATCTCCATAGCACAGTGCTTTACATCAAACAGATGCCTAGTAAATGTTTTCTAAATTATTGGCTGCATGAATGAAATAACACAATGTAATCTCAGGAGATGACGTTTTTCAACCCTTATTCAGTTTTAGCTGTTCTTGGCTTAAATACTCAGCAGTTATTTGGCCTTGGTAATTTTAAGTAGAGTAAGCAAGTGTTGGAGTGAATGGAGAAAACAAAAACTTTGTCTCCTCACCTTGATGAAGCAATTCTATCTGAACATCACCCTAAGTGTGTAGTCCCTGGACCCCATTCCTAGATTCTTAGAGTTTGGAAGGATCTTAGAGATTATTTAATGTAATTCCTACATTTATATATGTAGTAACTCAGTGATTTGAATCTAGTTCTTCTGGCACCAGCCTAGTAGCATTCTCTCCTCCTCACTCGGAAAAGTGATTATACCTGAGGATGCCAGAAACACCTTAAGAAATGGCTTATTCTCTGTTTAAATAACTGCTTTTTAAATAACTCACATTTTAAACAGAGAATAAACCATTTCTTAAGGTTGCCCTTGTACTGCATATTACCTTTGTATTACATATGGAAGAGTTATTTTGGGGAGGAATGATAGGAAAAAAAAGGAAATAACCTGTCGATTCCTACTCAGATTTTTTTTTTAATAGGTTTGGTTTCTTTGAGATCTAGTATATTTCCTTTTTATCACTCTTTTATTCCCTCTTTTTCTAAACCAGCTCAGTAACTTTTCGAGCATCGTTTATTAAGGCAGGACTCTTGTAAGGCAGTGACCTCTCTCATTAAAACAAAATATAAACTCTAGATGTCCAGGAGACAGAAGCAGGGAGGGACTTAGGGTCAGGCAAGCCCGGTCTCAAAATTTAAGGATGCCTTTGCAGGACCATGAGAACAAATGCCTCCTTAACTTCTGCAGCCATTTGGTGCCTCCTTGCCTCACCCACTAGATCCCCGCCATCTAGAAGGAGCTTCTTCAGATATTGTGGAGGTAGCTTCCCTTGATTCCTATGGCTTCACTATACTTAATTCCTAAGGAATAAAACTGTTTCTCCTTTCAAATTCTGGTTCAAGTATGGATAAAACATGGCATTGTGGTATATAGAAAAAGCTTTAAATTTTCTTCCTGGTGCATTTGATTGGGGTATAAGGCTACAACCAGACCACTTGGGTTTTGTGAAGTTAAAGAAAAGAACAGAAGCAACCCAGTACAATTGATTTGGATGATAGATTTGGCCTCAGGAGAATTCTCTTCACACCCTCTCTCTTTTTGTTCCCCTTAGCACAGTGACAGGCTGGCATTTTCAACTAGAACGCTAGTAAGCATTAAAGAAGAAAGAAAACCAAAATGATCCACATTAAATATAAAAACAAAAGCCACCTTTCAAAGTACAGATTTCTTAAGTTATGAGAAAATCCTGTTGGCTCTGAAGTGCTGGCTTAACTGCATTTGTGTGTGATATCCGTCTGGTTTCCTTTGCCATAGCTGATAATCTGCCTAATTTCCTAAAAATGGGTGTGCTCTTCTCAAATGCTGGTTCC